CAGGTCCCTTCCGACCCTAGAAACTATGAAACCCTGCTACAATTCTGAAGTGTGGGATACTGCAGAGATGAGATGCTGTGAACACTTTAATGAGAGCAACTCCCAAGGGTGCTTCCCCATCCCAGAACACATGTAGACACCTTAACTGTCCTAAACTGAAGTTCAAGTCAAAACTTCATCTGCTACAGACCATGGTAAATTCTGCCTAATGATAAATCCAAATTTTGCAGGTCAGACTCCATCTCCGTTAGTCTCCAGGGTAGGCCATATCTGTTGCTCAAAAGTAAAGAAACTTTCTGGTGAACGTAGATACATTTTCCTATTCTTGGTACGTAAGGTCCACTGATCCAATACAACAAGCCTCGTGCCTCTATCTTTGGAGCAGTAAGACATGAACTTGTCTGCTGAAATAAAGGAAGTGACACTGTTGACTGGACGAGCAATGTGCAGAATTTGCGCTTACCCACTAATGGCCACGTAGCAGAATGGCACAGGCAATGCAGCAGGGAAAGCAGTGGCAGAGGCAAGCAGCAACATGGGGCAGGCAGAGTGGGGCTGAAGCGGGAAATGAAGGAGTGTGGTGGTGGGTGAGGGAGGCAGTGGGGGGCAGAGGCGGCGTTGACTCCAACCCTAATCCCAAACCCTGGTCGGGGCCAGGGCTGCAACAGCTACCTGCGCTCCCTGCCCTGCTTTCAAAGCCAAGACAAAGGGCTTTCCCTCCCCTCCATGTTGAATGTGTTCAGTAGGGAGCGGGGGAGGGGGAAGAAGAAAACTTCATCTTGGATTCAAGTAAATATAGTTATAAAAAGGCAGGTGCTAGATCCTGGGGCTGCCTCCTTTGCTGCGGCCAGGAGAATAAACTGAATATGGCAGGCACTAGAAACCTGGGGATGGATGCCTCTTCTGTTGCTGTGGTTGTAACTGCTGATTTTCCTCTGAGCTGCCGCAAGCCAGAGTCCAACTTTTCATGGGGCTATAGGTTACTGATCCCTGTCCTAAGGACGCATTTAGCGTACGCTTTTGTACAAAGCTTCTTTTTATTGAATATGCTGTGACTTGTTTGGAGCACTCACATTACAGCCCTTCTACAGGAAATCAAAGCCATTTTTAACATGGACTTCATGACAGACATTAGAATAAATTCTGTTTTTTTTGGGGGGTCCATGAGAGCAATCACTTCTTTAGGCAAGTATTCATTTTAAACCGAGCCCCAGATGTATGACTGATTTTGCAACAGCAGAGTTCCTTGGTGACCAGGGATCTTGGTTTTCCTTGATTAAAAACATTTCAAGGTCTCTGCTAAAAAAAAATAAGTCACAAATTCTGTAATAAAACCCCAAAATCCATAATTAAAATTAAAGACTCCGTCACCACACAACCCCCACCCCCTGGCCCTGCTGGTGCCTCATCCCCCAACCACAGCCCCTGCTCCCCCAATCCTGCTGGAAGGGGCCCCCAGCTGCCAGGGCTATGGACTCAAGTCCACATACCTCTCAGGCTCAGGTGGGGTGGCCCCCTGCCACCGCGTGCACTCCCAGGGGGCAGAGAGGACCTGTGTCCCCCAGATCTATGTGGGCATGAGCTGGTGTGGCAGGGAGCAGCGGGGCCACACGGGGATCTCTTCACCGCTGCAAGCTCTCTACTGCCCTGGCGCTGCACGCCCTGAACCTGCCACTGTTTGGAAGGGTGCATCCCCATGTGCAGGGGCGCGTTGCCAAGACAGCACGGAACCTGCAGCAGCGAGCAGCTTCTCCTCGCGGCTCAGCTGCTCCCTGCCACACTGGGTTGTGCCTGCTGGGCTGCGGAGGCCCTGAGGGAGGGAAGCAGGGCGGCAGACTCCTGTGTGGAGAAGCTGCTCACTCTGCACTGCCCCGACAACAGGGCTGAGCCCCTCAAAGCAGCAACAGGTACAGGAGGCACACTGCCAAGGCAGCAGGGAGCTTGCAGAGGCAGGGAGATCCCTGCGTGGCCTGGCTGGTCCCTGCCATGCTGGGTTTTGCCCACTGGGCTGCGGAGG